GAAACAATGACTGTTTCAGAGCGAGGTGTTAATGTTTATGTTGATTATGAAACCTAAACCTAACCTAAACCATTGCTATAGTACCAGTAGGTGCATTACCATTATTATTTCAATTTTCTTACAAACTTTCTTTTTCTTATTTATATATACCGATAGACTGGCAGAAGAAAAGAAGCGGAGTATGCTATATATAATTTCTGTTCGTGATAAATTTATTACCATAGTTAACGAATTTATTATCAGAGTTCGAAAGTATAAACTGGTTTTAACATTCTGCCTATAGATTAGGTGTTCGAATGGTTAAAGTTGCGTAACATTTTCGCAGCCGAATGCGATCATTCTTTCTTCCTAATTTTTCATATGAAATATAGGCAATTTGAAAAATTGAATTTAAGGATATTTTCATTATCTTTCTCGTTGCTATTTTTATCTATTTCATCCGTGAGATTTTCATCGCCGCATCACGTTATGAAAGCGCAAGTGATAGCGCGTATTTATGTACCCGAGTATGTTCATCCATCTTTTTAGCCAAACGTTGTCCTTTTCGCAATCTTTCATAAGTCTTTCAAGACTTATAAATGCGCTACCAATACTTTTATGAAACAGTCATATCTTTACGTTGCAAGGTAAAAGGCCTCTGTTCTTACGTTGCATCTACAGGAAGCTTGAAACACATTCAAAACATATTGATATTGTCTAATAAATATTAACTTGTTCAATGAGAGGGTTATCTTTTAATGTGAATATTTTTCCTGTACAGCTGATGAAATATCTTTATATATAATTCATACGTTCGGAAAGTTATGTGTTACGATGAAAATCGATTTTACTACATTCACAATAACATGTTTTTAATTCGATACATACACACGTTTGATTATTATTATTTTGAAATGATACATTTATTTTACACTGCGATTAACTGCTCGGTATTTAATAAAATATTGATGGCTACATAAAGAAATTAGGCAACTAATTAAATATTATTGAAATTAACAAAATATCAATTTTTAGTTGTTGGCCGTTTGAAGACGATATATCGTGAACGTTAGGGTTATTAAAATTCAAGCAATTCATACATATTTTCCTGATTTTCTAAAAGCGACTATATCGGTGGAAATGTTTGCGATTATCTATATATGAGATATGATGAGCCTCAATGTCTTTAATTTCTTTTTCTCTTGGTTGGAAGCTTCATCTTACGATTAGAAAGCCTGATATTTCTAAATTTGACTTTTAGCGGAAACTTTCACAAATATTAGAGTCAGAAAGGTGTGTAAAAAATGTGCCATTAAGAAATTTTCACTTTATTGCCTGTCTCCAAAAATATCGTAAACATTCGTGATCGATGAAATAATGTATTCTTTGTAACAAAGCAAAACAAAAAAAAAAAAGAGAAAAGTCAATGAATTATGCTTTACTTGCAGGAACACTGCCGGGGCTATTGCCGCTGCTGCCATTATCATCACTACAGAGATTCAAGAACGAAATGATGTCCAAAGATGAAATGTCCCTGTACGTTGAGTAACTCGTGCACCAGTTTCAAAGTCATGGTTGAACATTAACAAGAGAGAGAGAGATAGAGAAAGAGAAAGAGAGAGAGAGGAAGAAACTATCGATTTGAAAAGCGTAGGAAGATCTGCACCAGAGAAAAACGAAGGAAACACACAAAGGGGAATAAACGAGAAATAGCAATTGCGGTGGCAAGAAAATCTCGAGTGGCATGAACTTTCCGAAGAAGAGAGCATCGATTCCGGAACATCGATTCATGCAATCAGTCGTCGGCCGTCGTCGGTTAGTCTACGCGCTGGAACTGTGTGTGTGTGTGCGTGTGTTTCTTGTTCTACCATCTTGAAAGTTATCCGATCTCTTTCTCCTGGTGGCGCGCTGGGTCACGTGTGCCGGAAGCGTGCACGGTGCGTGCATCATACACGCACTGTGCAAGGGTGGTGCTGCAGAACGAAGGGAACATCGCCACGACAGTTGAAAAGTGAAGATAAAATAACGCGGGATAGAGTTCGTTAGTAACAACGCAGGATCGAAGAACTGCATGATGAAAGCGAGTTTGACGATAAATCTGTTTCATTGCGGGAGTGGTAACGAGTGGTGTACTAGCAGCAGCTGTAGAAGCGGTGGAAGAAGCAGTAGCAACGACAATCTTCCTGGAAGAAATACAAATGACACTAGTAACAGTAAGAAAAACGGATATGACAATGGTTGTTTCAGTGGTATTTTCAACGATAAGTTGCGAGTGGAATACAGTGTGGAGGTTGTGTGCGAGCCACGTGGCAACTGTGATGACGAGATTGTTCAGCCGTTGCATTTCACCGAGGTGTGCTCGCACTGATTTGTGAGTGCTAGTAGAGAAAGAGAAAGCGGGAAATAGAGAGATAGAAGCCACCAAGACTCTCGTGGAGAGCGGGGCACTGAAAGATATGCGGACTTTTGTGCGAACAGCTGAACCGGAAGTTGTGAGAACAAGTGGAGTGCAACGTGCTCCGCCTAATCGGTGATAGGGTCAGTCGGTTAAAAGAAGACAAAATTGCCGTTCACAGCGACGACAACGCGGCATCTTTCACGATCACCCATTTTTCTCATCCCTTTCCCTCTTTTTCCTATTTCGTTTTGTTCCACCTCGTTTCTTCTTCTTCCTTTTCTTCTCCTCTCTTTCTCTCTCTTTCTTCTTTTCTCTCTTCTCGAAACTCTTTGACTTGACTCTCACTCGTTTATTTTATATATATATATATACTATATACTATTTTCTCTCTGTGTCGATTATCGAAAATTGCCTTGCCTTTTTTTTTTTTATTTCTCGACCGAGTAACATTCGTTAAATATGTAAATCGCATAGTGGCGACACATGCAATTAAAACGTTGGAAGGATAATGCAAATGAGAATTCGTCGTATAGAAGCCGCGTCGCGTTGTTCCCCCACAATAATGAAGGTATACTTTCCTAAATACATGTATTGACACAATCGGTGTTTAACATTCGCATGGCTGTCGCTGGATCTTTCTAGACCCATACTCCACGATTCTGTGTATCCATGTTGTAAATGTGCTTGTGTTGTACAGTAATTTTTTGAATGTCTCTTTACGTGCTTAGGAGACAATTTTGAAGAAAAAAAAAAAAAAAAAAAAAACGAACAAAAGTTGAACTGAATACTTTTCAAATGTGTAATAATTAATTCATATTTAGTTGAACATAACTTTATTAAACAACGAGTTAACGTTAATGAGAATCATTAAATTTGACGAATCATTAAAGTCGAAATCATACTGACGCTTTTGTCAGTAATCTTACATTGAAATGCAGATGGAATTTTCTTACCATACTTCGTAACGAAAATTCAAAAAGAAAGTAAATGAGAAAAGTTCGTTCCTAGGCTTGAAGAGACTTTACCGATGGCCGTGCGGGTATTAAATCACGCGATCTGTTTCTTCGATACGTGTATCGTGTACGAGTCGTAGAAAAAAAAAAA